GTTATTTGGTTTCTTATGGGCATCCTGAAAGAGCCAGGATCTGCAACAGTGACCCTATTTAGATGGGATTAGCAAGGGAAGAAGGAGAAGAAGATGGGTATCCTAAAAGAAATGAATTTTAAAAAAGAACTAGAAAAATGTCAGCGGCATTAGAGCAGGTTCAGATAACTCAAAAATAACTCCTAGATTACTGGCCTTAGCTACGGGGGGATGGCTATGATGCCTCTTGTGGATTCTTGTATGTGTGATAGAAGATAACTTTTATCATTTGTCTTCACAGCATCCTACTTTTTAATAATATTCTTAAATCTTTTCATACTTTTGAAAGCGATTTTACCAGGTTAGTTCTATCCTTTGATAAGGGGAAGGGATAGAGATTTCATAACGTTCTGTCAATGTTAAACCAGATGACAAAACTTTTTCCTAGAACTCACCAGCAAATGACTTGGGTTCACGAATGTCTCCATTGGAAATGTATTATAGAAAACATTAAGTGTTAGGATTATTAGAAATAGTCACTAATTCCTGCCTAAGGGCAACTTATATAACATAATAACCATGACTGGCCACATCAGAGGAATGCTCTCTGTCAGAAATGATGTCCCTCATCTTGATGTAATGATCAGAAGAACACTGAACAGCAATGTATTCTGAGAAATAGATTTTAGAAAATGATTCATTAACTATCTAAAAAAAATGTTGTCTAAAAAGTAGATCTAAAATGAGTAAGATATATGCAGCTCTCCATGGTAGAGGCAGAACCAATGATAATAAAATTAAATGCACATTTAGGACTCTGTGTTTTGAAAGCAATATATAAACTTTAATTACCGTAATTAATTAATTAAATGAGGCACTTCAAATGCTGTGTGTGAGATAACTCCTGGTATAATTCCATGTACACATAATTGATGCATCTTCACAGCTGTATCAAATATAACCAACTTAACTTTTCAGTAGCTACAACAGAACATTATGAAGATAATTATTTCAGTGAACTGAGGTCAAAATTGTACTTTTTATAAGTCTTTGTTAAATTGCTTTCTAAGAGAACAGTATGTTGTTAATATGTCAAACATTTATATACTTATAGGCATTTTTACTGTTACCATCAGCATATGCTACTTTTTTTGCAACTTTAGACTCATAGATTCAGTAATATTAAATTATTCCAGCAAACATTTCCTTCTGCCTCTCCCAAGACTAATAATTTGCCTAGAATTAGCATTCCTATATTGAGATTAGAAGAATGGGAGAAAAGGATTGGTCAGTGGCCAGGGTAGTATTGTAGGGCTTGAGAGACCAGAATTAGGTGCCTGCTCCCCCATGGATTTTCCTGTTGACTTTGGGAAAGTTCCCATCTCAAAAAGGGAGATAACTGTACTGCATGAGGTTTTGGGAAGATACGTGAAAGATAGTGAGGTACTGATGTGGGGTGGTAAGGGAGTCATATAAGTACCTAAAATCAATAGCTAAGTATAAAGGAAAGGAGATGGGGCTTTCACAAATGGGCAAAAAGTGTTAATTTACAAACAAAGAACTGAAACAAGTGGAACTTTTTTTGTAAAGTCAGATGCGTGAACTTCACCTGTATTAACTCCAACTTGACACTGACCTCCCTGGAATTTTGTGGATGGAAAAATCTTTTGAATGTATTAAGCCAAAACTTTTACCACTCTGGAATTAGCCAAGAGAAGACCTCACCCTCTCTTATGTGGAGCATAAATACATAAGCTTAGGTCTTTCTTCTGCAAATTACATGTGTTTTGTTTTTCACGAGTATGTAATACATAAGCAGATATTTTGCTCACTGCTAATGTCATTCTAAAGGAATTCAGTGCTCCTTAAAGGATTTTTTTGGCATGCAATCAGATGGCCTTTTCAAATAGTTATATATTTTAGTACCTAAGTTATCCTGGATGTAGGTAAGCTGTAGAAAGAGTGTTTTGTTTTGTAATTTTGGGAAATGCATGTAAATATAGTTAATCTTCCTGGAAATCTGAAACAGAAACAAGATTAATTCACTTGCTAGTGGATTAATCCACTGACAATAAGCCCTAAGGGAAGGTTGTTCTATACTATGCATTCTTGGGGCAGCAGTCTTAAATAAAACAGTGCATACATAATTGTCATTCCAGATTGCAAATTGATATCTGTTCCACTGATGGACATTTGTTCACTAGTACAAATATCACATGTCTGCTTGTTAATTATCTTATATAGTCTGAAAATTCTTCAACACTTTTGCACAAATAACAGCATACTAACATACTGTGACCACTGTGATGAAGTTGATTTATTAGTGAAGGTAGGGAAGGGAAATCTTGACTTGGGGCACAAGGATAAATCTATACACATTTCACATCCAGTAAACTTCATGGGACTCAATACAATTATTTCTGAAGGAGGGTCTGAAGTAACACTCTTATAATCTGAAGTTCTGGTTCTAGGTGTTCCTAACCAGATCACAAAGAGAATGATCCCAGAAGATTCTTATCCAAACCAGTACAGAGACTCCTGCTGAGCTCAGTGGTCTAATCTGCCCCCACCCCACTTTCTGCCCCTTTGGTTTGTCCATGCTTTGTAAAAGGAATTGTTTGTATAGTGTAGGGATGTGATAGGTTAAAAGTTTAAATGATAAGTATATTTATACCGGTAATATATTACCAGTTAATGTTTAGCACTGGGTTCAGTCTGGCAAAGAAGGGAAGGGCACATTGCCTTGGGAACAGGAAGGCAGCAGGGCAAGCAGGAGGGAGAGAGGAGGGAGGAGCAAGGGGGGGGGGCTAGTACCCCTAGCCTGTGAGGGTAAAGAGGAAAAAAGTGGGCTGTCTAATAACCCATCAATGAAGCAATTAGCTGCTCATTCACAGGTGCTCCTTCTCTCCCAGCGTGCCAGCAGCTGCTGCAGGCTGGGAAAGCCCTTTGCCTGCTGCTGCCACCCTTGGTTTCATGTAGGCTGTGTTGTCTAGTGGGGCTTGCCACCATCTCCTCCCCCAGTGTCAGAGGACCTCAGCAGCAATCTTGCCCAAAATGCTCTATTATCATTAAACAGTTTAACCAATGTAATTAGAGGAGGATAATTTTATAAACAGTATTTATGTCCTGAGTACAGTGGCTCATCTGTTATCACCTGAAAGAAAATCCAAAATGAAAACATAAACACTTACCCAGGCTCTTGATGCCTGAGGTATGATATGAGCAATTCAGCAGTCGCTGTTAGAGACACAATCAGATAGGAGGCTCCTACCGTAAAGGTGGGTGGGGGAAATGTGAGAATTCATTTTGGATTTGTAAATAACAACAGAAGAACTAAAAATGTTTAATGTTACAGCTCAAGCAAAGAAGATAGTGATTTTGGGCCCAGAAGTTATTGATATAATTCAGGGATCTTCTATCACCCTTCATGTACAGCTACAGAATGAAGAAGGAGAGGTTTGTGAATGTACGGACATGTTTACAGATATTTTATGCCATATAAGTGTGTTTCACAATTAAAAGGAGACACTGAAAATAGCAGAATATGACATGGAATTAATTTTACCTTCACAGTGGGCACGTCTACACGAGACATTAAATGCTCAGTAGACTAATTCTACTGTGCATTAGTGCATCACAGCAAAAACCATGCCATTGTGCTAATGCACAGTAAAATTAGTCTACTGCGCATTAGCATTACTTAAAAGGTGTGTGCCAGTGCTACTGCACAGTAGCGCCAGTTACTGCACATTTAATACCTGTTATTACAGGTACTAAACTTAATGCACCGTAACCACGGTGCATTAATGCACATGTAGACATGAGCACTGAATGTAAATGTTACTGAAGATGTTTTATGGTGCCCACAATTTCAAGAGATGTAGGGCTTCTGTTTTGTGTCTGCTCTCAGGCCTCACATGTCCAGGCAACTTTATGTTCTATGTGATAAAAATACAGTTAAAATACAACTTGCTATTGAATCAGCAGGCAAATAATGAGTCTTTTCTTGCAAAGCTCTGAATACCTTCTGAGAGGTGTTAAGGGTTCACATTTCTGATCTTTGCTGAGGGTCATGTAGGATCAGGTTCACGTAGAGAAAATGCCATGCTTGTCCTGCTTTCAGCAGTTTCCTTTTGTTTTGTAATTGACAGGACCAGCAGAGCAAGTTTCTGGTTTCTGGTTAGTACAAGTAATGCAAGAAAGGTAGCAACAAAAAAACAACCATCCTGTGCGTGTACATAACAGAGTAAAGTGAGGGAACTTGCTTAATAATACTCGGCATTTTATATAGTAAAAAAGAATCAATAAAGCTTCTCTTCTGTTGAGGGCAGATTAAATTACTTACCATATTTTCTTGCGTACAGTATGCCCCTGAAAAAGATATGCACCTTGTTTTTAAAAGACAAAATAAAGAAAAAAATCTCTCTCCTTGAAAATACTGGTAAACAGCAGTAAGTAGAGCTCTTGTCTCAGCTGTAGAAGTGTTCTAGTTAGGTCATTGTCAGGAAAAATGAAAAGGAATAAATTCTGTACTATATTTATTCTTTAGACAGGCAGAAGATTTAATTTTCCAGTTCTGTCCATTTTACCCTTTTCAAAAGCAATATATTTATTTAAATTCCATATTCAGAAAAGAAAAGCTTTGTCTACAGTTAAACTCATTTGATTTTTGTAACCTTCTGTTTAAAACCATTTGTGTAGAAGTCAAGGCTATGCACAGTACTTGAAGTTAAAATGAATGTACCTAGATAAGTATCTCATAAAGCGTTATAGCTTAGTTGTATCTTTTCAAAAATACAAGTTGAAGAGGATTACTTAAAATGTATCCTCTGGAAAGGTAAAAGTGTTCCTTTGTTCTTTTCTTCACAATTTGAGTAGAAAACATTCAAGGAAACAGAAATATTTTTCTCTGATTGCCTTTACTGAAAATAGTGATTACAGACCATCTTTTCCATCCTCCTGAGAAGTCAAACTAGCTTTCAAGTTATGGTCCCCCAATTCTAAGTACAAAGTACAGTGATAGGTCTGTTTCTTTGCAAGACACAGTGGAAGAAGGCACTTTGCAAGTTTTACCTATGAAAGGGTTGAAAGCTTTGATTACCCGAGGCATCAGCAAAATTGTGCATGTTTGCTAACGTCCCTTTGACATCTTGCAAAAGATTTAGTATCTTCCAGGGTTCATCTGATTATTTCCTATCTAAATATAGTTTATTTTTATCCTATGGTATAATTATTAGGGGTGTGCAAAAGCAGGCCCATTTGATTCAGATTTGGCCTGAATTGGGGACAGTGATTCGATCCGTTGATTCAGATCACTGTCCCTGATTTGATTCAGCCAAATCCAAACCTGAAGATTCGATGCTGATTCGGAGAATCAGCGATTCGGACATAGACACAGCTTTAAATGTTTTTTCTACATACCTCGAGGTACCAGCGTGGCTCGTGAACGCTGCGATGCTGGGGCAGACAGAGCATCCCACAGGACTGCAGGGGAGCTTCCCCGTGTGCTCGGTGGCAAACCAGGTGGCAAACGTACTTCCAGTCCACTTCTGGGAGCAAACAGGGGGCTCCCTCCAGCCACCCGGCTCAGGGACTGGTGCCTCCTGGGTCTGGGGAGGCACCCAAAGTCCCCCTGCAGCCAAATCCCTGCCAAATTGAATCGGGGACCGAAGCTTCGCACAGCCCTAATAAATATATAACTATGCTACCCCCTACCCTTGGAAATATGAATATAACTCAGCAGAGAATTTGGCTCTTAGGTTGTACTACACTATATTTTTTTCTGTCAAAAGAAAATTTTATGGAAAATCATTAAACTCCCACCAAAACCCAAAACATGACAGCACAATGCAGCCACAGTATTGCAAAAAAAAATTAAATTTCTGGGAAATGGAACAGCACACTACTTTTTGTGCAATGCCAAATAAACAATATAATTATAAGTGTAATAATGAAAATGAGTGAGCAAGAATGTTACTAGGGTATTAATCCAGGGTAATAATGAATTCATCTACTTTTTCACTGCGGTAAAATACAGTATACAACCATGATAATAATGCTAGATCATTCTCTCAAGTATTTTTCTGATTTCCTAGAGGTTTTGTTACATATTGATCTAAATTTTTAAAATATATAGTTCTTTTCTTACTGTTTTTTCTTTATTAAAAATGAACTATTTTAGGAAAAAACGTGGATTCTTCAGTAAAGGTGGCA